TGCCGTGGGAGAGTCCTTTGATGTCCCACAGAGCAGGTTTGGCTGTGTGCATTCATTAGCGGTCATGCAGCCCATCAAACACTCCTGAGCCCACACACTTACAGTCTTGATAGGAGCGGGCTTCTGCTTGACAGCAAAGAAAGATCAGGATCAGTCTGTCTGCTGCTCTGTGTCAGGCAGGTGCTGTGCAGCTTCCTACGACTTAAGCAAACTTCATCCAGCTCTTTATTCAAGCACGTGTTGTTGACAAATGTTAACACAATGCATACACCACACGGTACATTCCACATACAGGGCATATGTTTATAGTAGTCAAGTGAAATGACATTCAGAGGGCTGAGACAGAGTGCCCTGAGCTTGCCTGCGGCCAAACTTCCCTTTTTTCTTTTCTTCATATATATATATATATATATATATATATATATATATTTCTCTCAGCAAATCAGATATCCCACACTACAGACCTCCCACTGATGGAGACCAGCTGAGTCTGACTCACTCACAGTGCTCCTGGGCTCGCTGGTCACTGCGTTTTTAGCCTTTACAGACACTAGTTTGTCAGGATAACAATAAACACGCAGCACCTCTCTCTGCTGTCCTCTCCATTTGCAGTCAAGGTGACTACAGAGAAGCAAGCGCACTGCTGATGCATAAGGAATATTTGAAGAGCACTCACTGTGCGTCTGTGTGAGGCAGTTCAGTAGTAGTTTCTATGTTTAGCTAATTTGCCACAGGTAATGCATCACAACCTCAATTTTAGCTGTTCTTTGCTTTACTTTAACACCCCCCACCCCTATCATCTCCCCATGCTTTTCTCCTTTATTGTTCTTGTAAACCTACCACACCTGCTCTGTTTCATCCTCCATTGCATGTGGATTGATTTTAATGTGTGTTGTCTCCATTCGGTTTGTAATGTCAAATGCCAGAAATGACACGAGAGACTTTGTGGTTGATCATAGAATACGTGTTTTCGCCGTTGCCCTCCGCGATTACGGAAAGCGTGTGGTGTTTGAAAAAACGGATCCCTGCAGTAAAGATCAGAACTGCGGAGCTCAATGATGTTGTCTGAATGTCTTACTGTTTATCCTGGCCGGCAGGCTCCAAGGACTCACACAAGTACAAAATGGCTACACTTGTTAGCAGTATCATTCGGCTGTAAGTAACATTCTATAGCCGTTCAACAGTTTGCTATTTTGCCTTTTTCCACTCAGGCAACTTCTCATTTCCCAGAATCCTCCTGTTCCTCCTTCAGTCTCTCCCTCTTGGTTCTGTCCATCTCCGCATCCTCAGGCTCAAGCAGCTCTCTTGCTATTAAAAAGACATAAGCTGCAGTGCTTGAATGAGTGTCTTTGTGTATGTTTGTGTAGATGTGGTTTTTTATTTTCGTCGTCATTTCTTTCAATTGTGGAAGCAGATTTAATCATTTTCAGTTCAAAGTACCAACTCGAGCTTTAGGCCAAATGACTTGACTTTAGACTTGACATGGCCGAGTTGACTTCTTAAGCCTGTAAAAAAAAAAGCTGGAAGATCTCCAAAGACATCAAGTTTATATTTTTATTCTTTTTATTCTTATATTTAGTTTCACTCTCAACAGCCTGATCTAACCTCAGACCAGTGTTGGGAAGGAAAATGTGATGGGATTTTATTTTCCGGTACCAAGCATACACACTTCGTAAGGGGCAGCTTGTTCGCTATCTCCAGTTAGATAAAGGACTGCTCTTGCTGTTCAGTGGCCAGATGTGGCCAGATGTGCTAGACTGGAAAGTCTGTGATGGGTGAAGGAAGTACAATGTAAAAAAACAAAACAAAAAAAATGGATACATTATTACATGGCAAGCGCTACTATTCAGCGTGTGGTTAAAAAATATGGGAAAAAATCTTTAAATTAATAAGGAAAATTCCTTGATTGTAAAACCATATATTATTTTACTTTTCAGTGTAGCATGTGATGATTATGCACTCTGTGTTTTGAAATGTATGTGCGTGGCTGGTTTGCTGTCAGTAGTTTGCTGGTATCAAAATGTTTAAAGATTTCTGGAGAACTGTGTGGAGCCTCTGAGGCTAAAACACCTGCTGTTGAAAAGGTCATTAAATGTTTCTAAACTGGAGGGATGGCAGCAAGTCTGATGTTTGATTTCTACTTATTAAATACAAAAGATGCAACATGTAGGTGTGAATGATTGGATGTCTGCTGCTGAGCTGCCCGGAAGCAATGTAATAACTTTTTTCATTGGGAATACATATTCAGTAAAAGTAACTGGTCTGACACTGACAGACAGACAAAACAAACAATAAAGAAAAAGAGAAAAAGATCAGCATCTTTGTTCTGGTTTACAGGCCTACAAAAGGTCACTTGAGTGCTTAAAATAGAGGAAACTACAATGAAGGGATTATGTAGTATACTGACTATTCAACAAGATGCATAAAGCCAACACTCCAAAGCTATGCTCAAGCTTGAGAGAAGCTGCATGACTAGATTTGGACTTTTCTTTAATGACATCAAATCATCATGACGCAAAAGGACTTGAACATTTGAGATCTTTGTCCTTTTGAAAAAACAGAGATAATCTTGTAATTTTTACTCATGATTAATACAACATGAATCTAATTATGCAATGACTTGATATGTGCTACCAGTTTTTATGTGCAGATATTTATGTGAATATAGAGTAGATCTATGAAAAGGTGAAATTCATTCTGGGTCTAAGACTGATTTGGGAATGACGGTGCTGTATCGAAGGCAAAAACTAATTTATGTGAGATCTTTATTGCCAAAAAGCATCTTGACAGAAGAATAGACCTCTGCATGCGTAACACATAACATTCTGTCAATTTGCATTAAATTATCCTGCAAAATGTAGATAATCAAATTATTGAGCTCACAATATCATGTAATGAAATTTAAATCTAATTTGTAATTCTGCAATGACACTTACCATTAGTAAAGGTGCTGTAGGGGAACTGTATGACACTGACTGCCAGGAGTATTAGTCTTGATAGACTTAGGCAAGATTCACATGGATGCATTTCAGAATTTGGCGCCCTCGCTTCTCATTTACGCTGAATCGGGTGATGTCACACAGTGCCAAACTGAATTATGGATCCATTGTTTCACTTTAGTCTTCCTGCTTGGAGTCAAAGTCGAGAGAAATTCAACTTCCCAAGGGCCAGTGCGAGCGTCAGCCAATCAAATCACATTTATTCAAATGATCCAGTGCAGCTGTTAGCCAATGAAATCATTTTATGCAAATATCCTGAGAGGGCGATGTGTTGCCTGTGGAGTCGGTAGCATGACTTAAAATATGTGCTTAAATCAGTGGTTCCCAAACTTTTTCTGCTAGACCCCCTTTGTTTTACAAGAAAAATGTTCGCTCCCCCCCAAACCATCTACCCCGCCACCGCACACCTCAAACATTTAGTAAACAATTAAGCAAATACAAGTAAACTGCAAGAAATTACAGGTAGTAAGAAAATACACTACTAACTTTTTTATGCTACGTCCACACCTAAACGGGTATTTTTGAAAACACGGCTGTTTCTATGTGTTTGGGCCTTTTATCCACACGTAAATGGCGTTTCGAATCACTGAAAACGGAGAGTTTTTAAAAATCCTTTTTTGCGTTTACGTGTGGACGAGGAATACAGAGTTCGTTACGCAACGTCAAAGGTATGTGCCTCTTTTCACGTCACGCTGTGCGCCCCGTTATTGTTTACATGAGATGAATTGCAGAATGGCAGATAGAGACAAAATACTGTTAATCTGACTATCCTCAGGTTTTACACGCTTACATACACACGCAGTTACGGTCCCTCCATTTACAAAGGCAGAGGCGTCACAGTGTGATTATTTTACGTGTAGTTGTTCTTTTCCTGTATAATAAAATTCAACATTGCTATCAATACATTTTTCAAAAAATGCCTCTCTGTGCAAAATGGGTTTAAAAACATAAACAGCTGTGGGATACTGTTTGTCCGGGATTTGAACCAGGGGAACAAATTGTGGCAGGATCAGCCTGATATTATTTGTATCCCCACTTTTTTTTCTTTTCATACCGTGACACCCCCCCCTGCAATGGCTCTGCGCCCCACACTTTGGGAACCTCTGGCTTAAATCGATAATACTGCCTCTGTCTGAGTCTCGACACTGTTGCATTTTAAAAAATCTTATCCTCAAACAGCAACCTTAGCTTAAATAAGCTGCATGTTTGTGAAGCATTTGTGGGTCAGCCTCGTCACAGTCACAGGTCTGTTGTGATGTTGTCCTCTGTAATAGGCTGCAATGAGCTGGTCATGTTTTAGTGGGGTTTGACAAAATAATAGGGGTACTTTACAGTAACATAGCCGGCAGGCTTTTGCTTTTTGTTTTGTTTTTTTTCTCTTCATCCACCAACTAAATAATGGGAGCTTCTTCTCTACACACACTCACATACACATGGGTCTTGACACAAGTAAACAGTCATGTGCCAGAGAGGCCAGAGGAGGTTGTTAGCGCTCTTCTGCGAGACAGAGCCACATATTAGCCTCAATATATATAGGCTCTTTCTCTCTGTCTCCCTCCCTCTGTCCATCATTGACTTGCCAACTGTCAGATGTTGCTGTCATCCTCAGCCGTCCCTTCATTTGTCTCTCTAATGGGAATCCCCCTCTGTTTTCTCACACAGCTCTTATTTCAACAATTCCTCACTTTTTTCCCATGACTGTGTCCCATTTCACTGTCAATCTCTCTTCCCTCTCTGACACACATAGATTTTTTAATGTCCTATAAATGTGTTATATAAATCTAATTCATATTATTATTTTTGGATGACTCTCGCGCCATAACTGCAGGAAAATGGCACATTCAGACTTATAGTAAGCAGCTCCTGTGTTTTTCCTGATGCATCCTAACTGCTCAGCTTTCTTAAATGGGCTTAATGACTTGTTTCATTCTACCCTAAACTAACCTCTCTCTATTTTCTTCTTCCTGTTCCCTTTCCCACTTTTTGTCCCTTTTTTGTTAGTGATGTGAAAAGTGCTCTGAGACTGAAGGCTCAGCTGGTTTGGAAAAGACCTCCATCTGCAAAGGTAAAAAGTTTCCCCCCTTCCTCTTTGTGTCTGTCAGTTTTTCATTCTGTTCTCTGTCTCTGCTTTTAAACGCCAACCTTCACTGCTGGATGAGAAGACATCTGCAGAATACAAAGCAGCGCTTTAACAGTTTAGACCAAAAGTGGCATGCGGCAAACATTTCAGACAAATGCACAAAATGCACACACACACATACATAAACAGGCGTGCAACGCGGTGAAAAGGTAATTCATCACATGATTTACCCTTTATTTCCTTTGAGAAAATGTTCATGACACAAACACAGGAGGAGAGTTTGTGTGTGACCGCGTGCGCACGTGTGTGAGGAGAGATGAAAAATCCTATTACCTCTTCCCTTTATGAGAAATTGTGAGCTGTCAAAGTTTAAGGGTTATGGCCACCCAAGGACACGGGACTGGTAACAGAAAAATCTAGACGTGTTTATTGTACAGTCAAATTGGAGCTGTGCTTAGAGTGAAAATACCACAATATTTCAAACTTACCCTACTGAGCATTACAGCATGACCCGACGGTGTTTTATGTTTTTTATGTTTTGAATCGGAAGCTTTAACATGATTTGTCTAAAGTCAAGCAGGGTTGTAACCAGTAATTAGCAAGGTCTAAATTTTTTCTCTTACTGTGTCACCCTGATAAAGATAAGAGGCAGAGGATTCATGGATAATAGTGATAATGGTTGACGATCATATTATAATGCTGAAATTCTTCTTTGTTTAAAGTTAACAAAGTAACAATGTTTATGCAGAGGCAATAACCAGGGATCAGAGTCGCACACATTACGTAAAGTCAAACCTCAAATAATGTGATGATTTCCTGAAAACGTGTAGTAGCTTCTGTGTAATAACCAAAAATCACAGCTGCAAAATGCCACATTTCCTCAAAATTTCACAGTTTCTATAATTTTAAACATAGGACAAGAAAATAATGCTACATCCAAATGTGAGAATTGTGAACAGTGTTGGTCAAGTTACTTGAAAAAAGTAATCAGTAACTAATTACTGATTACTCCCCCAAAAAGTAATCCCGTTACTTTACTGATTACTTATTTTCAAAAGTAATTAGTTACTTAGTTACTTAGTTACTTTTTAAAAACACGATTTACAACCTGAATAGGTGATAAAGCGATAGAGCTTTCAGCCCAATACTTTTTCTACATAATCCATCATACAAAATGTAATCAAATGGAAAAGTCTCTTTTTTAACTTGTTTTATCAGTTTTAATCTTTTAACTTTATGCATCAAGCAAAAATTTAATTATATGCAACATTCTCTGACTTGAATAAATTAGTTTAACATTTAAACCTATTTTCTACACATTCCAACACATAAAATAAAATATTTTTTGTGTTTACACTCACTCTTTCAAATAGATGCAAGTAAAATACAGCAGAAAATAAATAAAGTCAAAGACTAAGCGGTCCTGTTGCTCTATTTTCACCTGTAAAGCAGGACTGAGGGTAGGCGGAGGTTTACCTTGGTGCAGGTGTGCTGTGGTCAGTTGCGCATTACGTCATTGCGCACTCGGTGCTTGCTTGGAAGTTTAGGGGTTTTTTTCGCTGTAAAAAGAAGTTTTCTTCCCACGCACGATGGACGCTAATGTTTTTGTCACTTTTTATGGAATCAAACTCAAAGTAAGGTCAGTACTTCCACGCTTTAAACGCTGCACGCTCATACTCTCTCCCGCACTCGATATGTGATCCATTGTTGATCTGCACACAGCTGTTGTCACTAACGGCGCACTCGCTTACGTCACTGTCGTGAGACATTCTCGCAAAAAATCACGGTTTTAGTAACGCAGTAACGCAGCGTTCCTACGGGAAGTAACGGTAATCTAATTACCGTTTTTGCAATAGTAATCCCTTACTTTACTCGTTACTTGAAAAAAGTAATCAGATTACAGTAACGCGTTACTGCCCATCTCTGATCGTGAACCGAGCATGGTAGCTCTGGTTATTTTATATTACACTACTAGGAAGTAAACAATTTACATATGTAGGCTGAATGATAGCGACAAAAGATTTATTAATAATAACATTCAGCTTTCAGCACTAATTTAATCATTTTTTAAGGATTTGATTGAGGTGTTATTGGTAAATCTGTTTAATCTGGTATCTCTTTAATAAGTGTGCAGTCTGTTTCTACACAGTACACGAACCCGTGCCAGCAGTGTTGCTAGTTTATACACTTTCACTTAAAAAAAAGAGAAAGAGTAAGAATAATAGACTACACTTCTGACGAGAATTAGAGTTGGTAGTAGGTCGTAGAGTTGGAAGACGATCAAAACCAGAAATTTTGAAAACCAGAAATAAATGTGTGTTGTAGTTTGCATGTTTTGCAAGAGGGACCTTGTATATAGAAATATAGAAGTATAAAACAAAACAAAAGAATTAGAAAGTATTTCTTTGCTTGAAATTACAATAGCACAACAGAAAAGATGCATGTTCTCACATATCATTGCAGTTCCCATAATATTTTAATCTTCCTTTCACTGACAAACACAGTGAAACATTGTTGTTTTAGCCTCCGTGCATCTGGTGCATATGCCCGATATAGTCTGATTATAATTATGACTTGTCAGAGGTTACTTATGTTTGCATGATTACAGTGTGTTAATCTGAGGCGTGCATTCAGTGAGCATCAGCACAAACTGAATTCCAGTCCTCTTTTGAGATTTTACTTTCTTTCCAAATTCACATCAGGTTGCTACAGTATAGCTCGATAAAATAAACAATTATTTTGTGTCATAGATTAGGATTGTTAAAATTCAGCTTCCCAGTACAAACACACTGTGATCTGTTGATCCCTGAGCTTCTCAGGCTTGTTGTGAGGATAGGCCAAAGCAAAACTGACCACCAGAATTTATTTTTATTCTGTATGTTTTAGCAGCCTGGGGATTGTAACATTAAAAACACCTGGTGGATTTTATTTAGATTATATATACTCCTTATATGTGAAATACTGCTCAATGAGCCAGTTTAAATTTTACACTGTCTGGAGAACACATTCAAACAGTGCTTTGTCTGAAGGTATTCACGCTGTGAAGCTAAATTTAACTTTTAAGTAAATAATTGAAACATGAAGAAGATGGATGGGTGGATGGATGGATGGATGGATGGATGGATGGATGGATGGATGGATGGATGGATGGATGGATGGATGGTTGGATGGATGGATGGATGGTTGGTTGGATGGATGGATGGATGGTGGATGGATGGATGGATGGATGGATGGTTGGTTGGATGGATGGTGGGATGGATGGATGGATGGATGGATGGATGGTTGGTTGGATGGATGGATGGTGGATGGATGGATGGATGGATGGATGGATGGATGGATGGATGGATGGATGGTTGGTTGGATGGATGGATGGTTGGATGGTTGGATGGTTGGATGGATGGTGGGATGGATGGATGGATGGATGGATGGTGGGATGGATGGTTGGATGGATGGATGGATGGATGGATGGTGGGATGGATGGATGGATGGATGGTGGGATGGATGGATGGATGGATGGTGGGATGGATGGATGGATGGATGGATGGTTGGTTGGATGGATGGATGGATGGATGGATGGATGGATGGTTGGATGGTTGGATGGTGGGACGGATGGATGGATGGATGGTGGGATGGATGGTTGGATGGATGGTGGGATGGATGGTTGGATGGATGGTGGGATGGATGGTTGGATGGATGGATGGATGGATGGTTGGATGGTTGGATGGTGGGATGGATGGATGGATGGATGGTTGGATGGATGGTGGGATGGATGGTTGGATGGATGGATGGATGGATGTTAAAGAGTCCTACTGAAGTGTTCAAATGTAAGAATTTGGGCGTAAGTCAAGTGTGACACTGCACCAATGGCAGTGTACCTCTGAGATACTGATAGCTATGATAAAACAGCAGCATTTGATTGATTTGTGATGAGAACTGATTCACTGATTGGCTATAAAACACTGAAAGTCATTAACACATACATAACAGAGGCAGTGTCATCAAAACATAAATCTTGTCTCTTATCCTCGGCATGCTACACGAAATGTCTAACTAACTAATGACAAACAAACACTTTTAATGACATTGTTAATCATCACTTCAGTGTTTATTAACAGCCATCAACGATATACTTAAGTGAAATTAATGCTAGACTGATCATTCATTTAAAATGTTGATTACATAATGATCACAATGATAAACTCATGACAAAGCTTGTGTATGTAAAGGGTCTCGAGGACTAGCCACCAGTAGTGCAAATTTTCTGTGTATTTTGAATTCAAACCTATATTCATGAGGCAGTTCACAGGTTTGATACCTGCTCTGTAATTATTGCCCTATTATTGCCACTTCCTGTGAAAGTGCTCTTTGTCGATTCTTAACGGGTGACAGTGTGTCAGCCTTCAGTGTTTGTTTGCGATGCTCCCTGTGGCCTGTAGCTTTTTGAAAACACACTGTTGCCTATTTGCACACAGCAGTATTCATCCAGTGGCATACATTTCATTCTTTAAACAGTCCTTGTCTGTCAGAGCTGAGCGCAAACTAAAAGATTCCTAAAACAAAATTAACAGCAGGAGGCTTTACACATCTTATTATGATTGTATCCACCCAGTGTGCCAGGATCGATGATCAAAAGGAGATAATGGTTGACAGAACACTGTCATTATCATCAGTTTCAGTGCTTATATTGTCACTGTGACCTTCTTTCATCAGACTAATCATTATCATCATTATTTTTATCCTGCACAAATGTACACACCATTGTGCCTCCGTCCGTCCCTCCATTATTCCAGCCTCTCTGCCAAACACCGTCTCTGATCCTCCAGACACAAATGTGGCTACCCTCGTCTGTCAGCATTTACACACCAAATGGTGTTTGACCAAGATTCAAGGCTTCTCTATTCCCATCCCTAATGCATGTGAATGACCTGCTTGCCTACGTTTGTCTGCGTATGTGTGTGTGAGGGATGTGTATGTGCGTAATGAGG